CCTACAGAATCCCTTGCTAGCTAACTCTTCATTGTACTTGGCCTTGAGAAAAGCTGACAGTAGATCCCAGGATGGGAGGAGAAAAGGGTTGAGGAGTTCTTCTCTAACAGCAGCTGGATTCCTTTAACCATGAGTTTTGCTGGGCAGTGCCTTCTCCTCAATGCTCTTACTTCCTGGGCTCCAGGGGTGTCCCTTTAGCACTAGAAAGTGAATGGCAGAGGAAAATCATCCTCTTGAGGTCTGGGAGGCCGATCCCCTCAGATGTGCCATTTTCCCTAACATTCTTACTGTCCCCAACCTCCTCATGCACCTATAGAATCCCCTTCTTTAACCCCACTGCCATCTGTATCTGTACTCCCTCCCTTAAGAAACTCCTCTCCATCAAATGCAATAATGGAAGACCTTTCCTTCCTGCTTCCGTTTGAAACTGCAAGCGTAGAATTTATCTGGATTCTTATGAAGGTTTTCCTTCATCCCGCCTTTCTATCTCTCCATTCCTCTTGCCTAAACTGATTTTCTTCATAGCACTTTCAGGGTGTAGCCACAAAGAAATCAGAAACTGCATTTAATAGACCTCTTTTTGGTAATAGTATTTGTACTGTTATTTTGACACTATCATAGGTTTGTTGTAGGATAAAGCAAATAAGTAATATGTCATTCAGAGCTCAGCTTTTCAGAGTGAGTAAAATAAATACAGGTATAAAATCATCCTGTATTCTATTTAAATGGAAATATCAGTATAAACTTCTGATGTGAGTACTTTTTAATTATATTTTTACATTTTTCTTAGCTCTATCCATTGAAAAGTCTTCAAAGCAAGAATAACCCAGTAACAATGAACACCCATAGCATGCAAGTTTTAGCTTGTGAATATCATTTCTCAATAAAAGGTACCAGAGCTACTCACAAAAATGGCTGATTCCATGTCTGTTGCAAGATAAGTACAAGGTAGCCTTGAGACATCTCGTCCCTGTCAACAAGGGAGCTTTCAAAGTCCAATGCGTTTCTGTCAAAAGGACACAGAAGCCAATCTGAGGAGCTTCCATTGGCCTGAAATGGACAGTTTAAGCACCAGAAGGATTAATGCCTGCAATGGACTCAAACATATCAAATATATTTTTTGAACTGTGAATTTATAATTATACAAACCCCAAAAACCAAACAAACAAAAAATAACTTCCTTTATTACATTTGGAAATTGCTGGGGTCCCAACCCACTATTCTAAAATTGCAAAATAAAGAAAAAAAAGCACTTATTCTGCCTTTCCTGTATCAATTAACTACATATTAGGTTACCTAAAAAGGAAACAATGACAATTCCTTCCTTATAGATGACTCCCAGGTGATAAATGCAGAGGCAGGACGTTAAATTAATAAGTTACCAGTTTGCAACCCCTCATGAAATGTCAATCTGGGAATTGATCAATGAATATTAAAATATTACATGACAAATTTATTGGACACTTTTTCAGGGAGGGTTAAGACTGGAACTATAGATATACCTGGATCAGTCTTCACATCACTAAATTGAACAACTTGTGTTATATGCCTCATGATCTGATGCAACATGGGGCACACAGCACCAGCTGGGACATAATCTTGCCTGAAACAATGGAACTAAATCTAATCAACTCTAATATAACGAGTACCTAGGAAAAACCGGCGTTACAAGTTACGTGGCACCAACAGAAACAACGAGCCAAATCCAGAACGCAGACGTTCTAGAGAAAAAAAACAATTTCTCCACAAATCAGTGGTATATAAAAGAAAACAATGGAATCTATTACAGAATGAAAGAAGCTTAAGAGAACCAACAGTCCAATGCAATATGTGAATCTAGTTAGGCTGTTGCTTCAAGCAAACCAGCATAAAAAGACATCTTTGAGATTATCAGAGAAGTATGAACATAAATGAGTATTAGGTTTCATTAAGAAGTGACTGTTGCTCATGATCGATATAAAACTGTTGTACAGTTAGATTTAAAAGTCCTTAAGAACTTAGACATGCGTGCAAATATTGACAAGTGAAATGACTTAATGTCTTAATTTCCTTGAAGATACATCAACAGAAGTAGAAGATTTCAATATAAGAAGTAATGGAATTAGATGAGACATGCTGAGAAATATGGACAAGTGTTTAATCTGGGGGATTGGTACATGGTGGTTTACATACTATTCTCTTTCATTGTATCTGTTGGGCTTTCAATGATGCAAACTGTGATTAAGCAATAAAGGAGGTTCTTCCACTGAGGAGAACACAAATATATTTTGGGATTAAATTTCTGATTATGGTAAATATGATGGCTTGTAGAAAACTTTCAGGTGACTCTTATCATGGCTCAGGGAAGGGAGAGGCCCTGAGCACAATGATGTCTTCATTGAATCCAATAGTTTCCATGCAGCATGAGAAAGGAAAATTAATATTTTGAATTTCAATTATTGCTTAATATTTTAAATGCTATATGTATTTTAAATATAAATATATGAATGGGAGACTTCTGAATGTAGCCTAATGGAGGAAAGGGAGGCATTTCCCCTTCTCAGATATTATCTTAAAACAAACAAGGAGAACAAGAAATGTAAAAGTGATCTCCACACTCAATCCCCAAAAGGAAAACATCTTAAAGTCCTTCAATCAAAAAAAAATAAAAATAGAAAACTCTTCTCACAGAAAGAAAGAAATCAAACACAGTTATTGGGAAACTGAGAGAGAAGATGCCCTCAGTGCAGATCTCAGAAAATCCAGTGAAGAACACTCTTGAGAGCAAGCAAGTCAAAACTAAACAACGTGGTAACCACAGAGGGACAGCACACACAGTTAACCCTGAGGTTTTCCTACTGCCAGGCACTGCTGACTCATGTAACTCCTACTGTATGAATGTGAAGAACATGTCCTCGGGTGCAAATCCAAGAATCGCTGGTTTGCAACAGCCAGAAGTGGGTGTGTGTGTTCCAGGGAGGACCCATTTGCCATGAAGTTTCAAGACCCAGTGAAGGCAGGGTTGAGTAAGCGATCAGAGGCAAGGCCTATTGGCAACAGGTTGTCGGGGAAGCAAAGAAGACTGAGACTGAACTGCGAGCCATGCTGCAGCCATCTTCCTTGGCTTCGTCTAATTAAAATTAAAAGAATTATTCACACAGCCTGTGCCATAATGAGAATTCCTGTTAGCCTGGTTGCAGCCTGGCCCCTCCTCCCAGAATGCTGTCTGCAAAAGGCAGGTCCAGAAGGAGCTCGCCTCTTTCAAAGATGAGCCCTTGTTAGAAAGGAACAATTCCAGGCCCCACGAAGGATACTTTACATTGAAACAGAAAAACAAAAGTCACTTAGAAAACACTCCACAGAAAAAAGTGACAAAAATTATTACCGAAAGGGCAATGAAATAAACACCACGGTGAAATAAGAGAACAAAGGGGCAGTAGAATGAGAAATAAAAGATTAAAATATGAGTTGATAGAGCTCAGAAAAGGAGCAGAGAAGAAAGATAAAGCCACAATAGAAATGAAGGCCAAGCTGAAAGCAGCATAAGACGTTGCTGATGCACAGCAATGGACCACAGGTAAAGGTGGAGAAAACAGCCTGTAGAAAATAGCATGAGAACCAAGTGAAAACATAGATATGGGAGCCAAAGTACATATACCATGAGTGCAACTTCAAAAGAAAATATATATGTGTGTTTCATATATATATGTATGTATATATTCAATATATATACTCGCATGCATAACACATACCCAAGGAAAAACACAGAAACATATCTAAGTGACGTGACTACAAGGGTACACAGGGAAGTGGTAACACTGCTTTGTCTTCCTAGACAGGAGTGGGGAATGATCTTGAGCATGTAATTTTTTCCTTAACCATGTATTACTTGTTTAATTTTTCAGTTAATAGGTAGGTGTGTAAATATCAATATTCAGTATATAAATAGGCATTCTATGACATCTGTATCTGTAATGTTTAAATAGATAGCTTATTAAGCTTCTAGTTTGAACTGTCAGTTTACAGGATACACAAAGGACACGAGATCATGGTAAATAAGACAACATGACTATGCAAATGCACAGGACAAATAACCTGTTTTTTATTTTTTTCACAAATAAACTGCAAGTGGAAAAGCAGAGGAGGATTTAAGGACTTAAATGATTTTACAGATGTATTACTTTAAAGACATATCACCGAAATACAAAATGTATGGAACTTATTAGAATCCTGATTTGGACAACCCAAACATAAAATATAAATAACACAAACAGATTTAGTTCAAGATTGAATAGATACTCCTTAATGTTAATGAATACATAAATATTAAGGATATATAAATGGTATTTGGTTATGTATTTAAAAAGCACCTCATTTACAAAATAAATGTTGAATTCTATACTAAAGAAATGATATGACCTCTGGGATTTGCTTTTGAATATTTTAAGATTGATAGGGAATTGGGTGGGAGTATAGAAAAAATAAGGCTGACCATGAGTTAATACTTTGTATAAAATCCAGTGATAGATATACAGAGGCCCATTATATTGTAAATCTACGTATCTACCTGTGGGAAATTTTTAATGAAAGCAAAAAAAAGTCATGTTTAACTTCTGTAATCAGTGAAAACACTAATAATTATAGGTAAGGGATAAGCAATAGGTTATTTTATATCCAGTATTTCTGCCTTGTGGGTGAAACACCAAGGCAGAGGAGCTTCAGTACATTTCATACACGAGCGTAACATGGAGAACCTCTGTGTGAGTCAGTGACTAACTCCCAGCTAAGTGAATTCAGACTAGTCTTATTGTACTGAGAGCAGTCAAAGCTGGAAGGCAGGAGAAATTTTCCCTGACTAAAGGAAATCTAAAATGCGATCTTCAGATTTCATAACTTTTCTAATAAACCACATGTGATCTCACTCTTTGTAAAGCCCAGCCTTCCCAACCTGCAGGCTCACCTTCCAGCACTGAGCCCAGCCCATTTTCCCCATATATAAGCCACTGCTGGGAACCTCGTCTCACCGATCTGCTCCTCTCAGCTCTACCCTCCACCTCTCACGCCCTCCTCAGCCTCTTCGACTTCAGGAACCATGACTTCCAACTCCACCGTGAGAAGCCAAAGCGGCAGCCGCCGTATCTTCAGTGCCGGCTCAGCCAGAGTCCCTGGGGTCAATCGCTCTGGCTTCAGCAGCATGTCCGTGTGCCGCTCCAGGGGCAGTGGAGGCTTCACTGGAGTGGGTGCAGGAGCTAGCTTTGGCAGCCGCAGCCTCTATGGCATAGGGGGCTCCAAGAGGATCTCCCTCGGAGGGGGCAGCTGTGCATTCGGTGGCGGATATGGCGGCAGAGCTGGAGGCGGCCTTGGCTTTGGAGGTGGAGCCGGGAGTGGATTTGGTTTCGGCGGTGGAGCTGGTGGTGGCTTTGGGCTCGGTGGTGGAGCTGGTGGTGGCTTGGGGTTCGGTGGTGGAGCTGGCTTTAGTGGTGGCTATGGGGGCTCTGGCTTCTCCATCTGCCCCCCTGGAGGCATCCAAGAGGTCACCATCAACCAGAGTCTCCTGACTCCCCTCAACCTGCAAATCGACCCCACCATCCAGCGAATCAAGACTGAGGAGCGGGAGCAGATCAAGACCCTCAACAACAGGTTCGCCTCCTTCATCGACAAGGTGAGCCGGGAGCACCTGCCCTCCACTGGGATTTCAGAGTCCCCAGTCGAGAGACGCAACCAATGTCCTACCAGGGGGAGTCTCGGGAGAGAGAGAGGAGGGGACTCGGGCTAGCTCTCCACTGGGATGCAGGATAGGCTCCATATGGACCACAGGCAAAAGGTGATGGAAATCATTTACAGCTACTGATCCCTTAAATGTCTTCATTCCTGCCTGGGAAGCATTCTCCACTCTTGATAACCCTCAAGCAAAGGAAAGGAACTGAGAGAATGGAACGAGTTAGCTTGACCTTCTGAAGGGTCTAAGAAATTAAAAAGGGAATTACAGTGGAAACAGCACTTGAGCCTTAGCTGGGGTGGCGGCGGGGAAGGAAAGAAGATAAAAAACCAAAGGAAATTACAGGAAAAAAAGACTCAGAAACATGTATATGTGCATAGAAATACTTAACTTGTAGAACCAGATCATGAGCATTAAGGGAGCTTGTTTTAGAGGGACTCATACACTAGATGGGAAAGAAGATTAAATCCAATCATCAATAGGGTTGGAATTTAACCATTAGATTCTAAACATTTGACATCCCTTTAACTGAGATACACTCTATAAAATAACTCTGCACAATATATGAGAGAAATACTATTTTAAAGTACATTTGTGATTGTGCTTATCAAGAGGAAGAAAAGAAATGTTGAAAGTCACTGACTGACAGGCTCCGTAATTGAGAAGAGGGACTATCTGATAGCTCCCTGGGGAAACTTGGCCAGTGAGATCTGTGTGGTGTGAAGGAAAACAGTCAGGGGAGCAGAACTGTCAGCCTGAGCCTCTGTACATGCTCTGGAGTAGCCCAGCACCATGGGGACCATCAGATCTGCTTGGGGACAGTCAACTCACCTCTCTTCCTTCCTTCCTTCCTTCCTTCCTTCCTTCCTTCCTTCCTTCCTTCTTTCCTTCCTTCTTTCCTTTGTTGGACAAATAACCATCTTGTCTTTCTCCAGGTCCGATTCCTGGAGCAGCAGAACAAGGTCCTGGAAACCAAGTGGGCCCTGCTGCAGGAGCAGGGCACAAAGACCGTGAGGCAGAGCCTGGAGCCTTATTTCGAGCAGTACATCAACAATCTCAGGAGACAGCTGGACTGCCTTGTCTCAGAGAGAAGCCGCCTGGACTCAGAGCTCAGGGGGATGCAGGACACGGTAGAGGACTTCAAGAAGAAGTGAGTTACAGGAGAGAAAAGGGCTCAGTTTCCTGAAGCCCGCACTTCAAGTCTATTAGATGACCAGGTCCAAATGAGGGCATGATTCTTAGTAAAACGTGTCCATGGAAATGAAACCACAATTCTTGCCTAAACACAAACTCCAAAGAACAAAAGGGCCATACAGGTGGATGGGGAGAGTAAAGATGTAAACAATTTAGGGACCACAGAATTCATCTTTTAGGCTTACTGGCAGGAAAGCTCCATTTGGATATATCCATTGTGGGAAGTTGGGATCCCAGGCTGCCTTTTCTGTATCATCTTCACCACTGACTCAATTAGGTTTTACCCTTTCTAATTCCAGATATGAAGATGAAATCAACAAGCGCATGTCAGCAGAGAATGAATTTGTGAATCTAAAGAAGGTGAGATGAGTAAGATCAGGGGTTCATGTTTCTTTGCCGAAGGAGAGGACTCTGAGAAAAGAATAATCAGCAAGACTAAAGGAGGAGCAGACTGGGAAGGAGGGCTTGGCTCATCTGATCCCAAGTTTTTGGCTTCTTCCCTAGGATGTGGATGTTGCTTACATGACTAAGGTTGATCTGCAAGCCAAGGCAGACTCTCTCATAGATGAGATCAACTTCCTCAGAGCCCTCTATGAAGCAGTAAGCATCTTTCCACACTGTTATATTGACTCTAAAGAGATTTGCAAAGGATGGAAAATCTTAGACTTGGGTACCTCTGTAAATGTCATGGGAAAAGAGGATCTGACGATCTCATGTTCTGCAGGAACTGGCTCAGATGCAAACCAACGTCTCAGATACTTCTGTCGTCCTTTCCATGGACAACAACCGCACCCTGGACCTGGACAGCATCATCGCTGAAGTCAAAGCCCAATATGAGGAGATCGCTCGCAGGAGCCGGGAGGAGGCTGAGTCCTGGTACAAGTGCAAGGTGAGCAGTGAGGGGGAAGCTGTTGAAGAATCCCTGTACCTCCCCCCGGAAGACCAGCAAGGCTTCCCGAGACTTCACTCGGGAAATCTACATTTAGGAAGCGGGGGTCCACTCAAAGAACGTGTACCCTGAACCAACAGAGTAGATCTTTACAGTATTTATGTCCAAGTCTAGTAAGTCAAAGAACCTAAATGTAGGACAAAAGCTACCATAGATAAAGGCCAAGGGATCTTTGCTTTAGCTTCACCCTGATGCTGGTTCTCAGAAACAGTACAGAGGATGTTCTGGTCTTGAAGAGAACGAGACAGTCAGTGGTCCTACCAAGGGTGGTGTGTGATGGGTGTACAGTGTCCATGACCTTGTAACACCAATTTTCTTAAAACGCCTTGTGGAGAAACCATTAGTTTTTTTTGTGAAAACCTTGATTAGTGTCCTGTGAAGCCCATGAACACCATCCTCTCTCCCTCTGGTTTACAGTACGAGGAGCTGCAGAGTTCAGCGTGCAGATATGGGGACGACCTGTGCAACACCAAACAGGAGATCGCTGAGATCAACCGCATGATCCAGAGGATGAGATCTGAGATTGAACACGTCAAGAAGCAGGTATGGTGGGGACCATGGAGGAGAAAAGCATCCTTTCCTTCCTAGACCACCAGGGATCATCAACCACCATGTAGGGAACTCCTGGGCAGTGAGGGAACAGCAGGGAGGGGAGGACATGTACTTCCTCCCTTAGTGAGTTCCCACAGTTTGGAGAGATGGATCCCAACCCAAGAGCAGGAAACAAATGCATGACAGGACCAATCCTGACTGGTCGACAGTACAAAGGTACAGTCTTGAGGCACTGAAGTGAGATTCAATAAGAGGAATGATTGATTTAGGAACTCAAGACAGTAGTTGGCAAAGAAAAGTTCAGGCCAGAAAGTGTGAGGAAGAGTGCTGCAAATATGCTCAGATTCGATGTGAAAAAGAAGCTGAGTAAAGACACAGGGCAAATGAGGGTTTTCCAAAAATGTGAAGTGGAAGGAAGGCAAGGTCGCAGCTGTTTAAAGTGAAATCATCTCCTCACTGTGGGTGTCTGTGGTTTTGTGTGAGTTAGCGTGCACCCACATGCACTTACCCAAACTGTCAATATTCAGAAGAAGCCAGTGGGTCCATTTCTTCCAATGTCCCCTGGTCTTGGGTCTGCTGTAGTATCTTCCAGCACTCACCACCTCCATCTTCATTAGGGTGGTTAACACAGAGGCGTATAGGGAGCTCCTAGCCTAGTTCAGGGTTGCAGAATGGAAAAAGACTGGACAAAAAGAATCAAACCTCCTTTTCCATGGAATCTGGGCTCTAGAGCTCTTCCTCACTGGGAAAGAAGAACCATGGTTCATCTCCTCAGGAGTCCAGATTGCAGGTTCATCTGCGCATCTTCCCCTCTAGTGCACCAGCCTGCAATCCGCCATCGCCGATGCAGAGCAGCGTGGGGAGCTGGCCCTCAGGGATGCCAAGAACAAGCTGGCCGAGCTGGAGAACGCCCTGCAGAAGGCCAAGCAGGACATGGCGCAGCTACTGAAGGACTACCAGGAGCTCATGAATGTCAAGCTGGCCCTGGACGTGGAGATCGCCACCTACAGGAAGCTGCTGGAGGGCGAGGAGTGCAGGTGAGTAACTCACACAACCTCCTCAAACATCTGGGTCCATCTCCAAGGTGTCCAGCCAGTGAGCACCACTGGAAGGCACTCTAGTCGTGGCCATAATGCCACTCCCAGAAAGCCACGTAGAAGGCACGTTCCCCATGGGCTCTCCTCATGCCAAAGCTTCCCACGCTGGTCCAGCTCTGGCTCTGAGGTCTCATAATGGCTGTGTCTCCTCTCTCCTAGGCTGTATGGGGAAGGCGCTGGACAAGTCAACATCTGTAAGTACCTTCACTTGCCTCCCTCCCTTGCCCTTGTGCTCTTCTGACTGGACTCTGTGTGGCAGAGTGAGCTCACCATGTCTTGTCATGGCCTTGTCTCCTTGCCTCTCCAGCCGTGGTACAGTCCACCACCTCCAGTGGCTATGGCAGTGCTGGCGGTGTCAGCAGCGGCTACGGCATGGGCGGAGGCGGTGTCAGCAG